GTCCAGAAACTGAATTGGGAAAATGTTAGTCTCTCTGGAGATGATGAAGGTATATATATGTTGGACCAGTGTTAATGCTGTAGCTGTCACACGTGCAGGTCACAGGGCAAGGTGAGGAACCCTGTGTTGGAGCGGCCGGTCTATTAGCTGTACCGTTGCTGGGGGGAGAGGGGCAGGCATTCAGGCACGCACAGCTTGCTTCAGGTCACTGAAAACTTGTCTTCTTTTTTCAGCTAACCTAGCTGCTCCGACAAAAGATGTGACCTGGCTTGTAAATCTTGCTTTGCTTGTGGGGGTGCAGATGGGGATGGCGTGTGTAGGGTGAACTTGAGCTAAGGCCCCTCCACAGGCATCAGAGGCAGCTTCAGGAGCTGCAGTGCTCTTGCCAAATCCACAGCCCTCGTTTAGCCACTGAAGCTGCCATATCTGATGTGAGGTGTGAGAGAATTAGTCCTGCGCTGCATTATGCCCTCCTTTATTCAGCAGGCTACCCATGGGGTTTCAGTCCTTGTCCCAGTCAGTGTCTAAATGTTTTAGATGAGTAAAGCAGACACTGGGACTCAGGTCCTCCTTTGGCTGGCGGTTCCTTTTCTCTCTCTGGGAAGGCAGAGCACGTAGGCTCAGTTTCAGACTGTGTTTTATGCAGGACGTGGTTTGGTAGCTCTCCTGGGAGGGCACTTTCATGAGGGTGAGATGAGAAGGAATGCAACGTGCTTTGCTGGTCGTCCTCAGTGAGATTCAGGCTGGATTCAGATGCTCAGCTCCCAGCCCTGTGAACCCTGCAGGTGTTATGTAGGGTGCTCAGAAATGTTGATGGGCCAATAGGTGCCTAAGACACTTGGTGCCTCAGGGCTTGGGCTGCAGCAAACTGCAATTGTAAAGACTTTAATTTGTCCATGATCATCCCTGAGGGTCTGGCACACCTTTCTGGATGTTTCTGGTTGAGAAAGTTGTCCTCAGCATGCTCCTCTGGTGCACCAGGCACTATGGTTTGCATACCTTTCCCCCCAGGGTGGTGATGAGCAGACAGATAATTGGCGACTGTTCCTCAGGGTAGGAGGTGCTGTCAGGGGGTGCTGGGGGACTGCGGTGAGGAGGGTGCACTTTTACAAGCACAGCCTGGCCTGTGGGTCTTCCCCACCTCACGGGGTAGCCATGGGCATGGTGGTGCAGCTCCAGCTCCCCGGCAGTCAGTCCTGTGCCCTCTGCCAGGGAAAGTGCCTCCTTGACAAAACACAACTTTTACATATGTAAGAAAAAAAAGATACTTGCAGAAGGTCCTGCAACTCTCACAACATGTCCTAAAGCCCAAGGAAAGGGATGGTCTGACCCTTGTCTCTGCTAAAAGCTTCTTTTCCTCTATACCCTGCCTGCCCCCTTAATGCATCCATGCGAACATCTGTGTCCTCTCCTGCCTTTTATGATCAGATCATAATTTTTTGTTTCGAAGCCAGTTTGCCAATTTGAAATCTGTCACTTGATGGAGTGTTTTCCCTCCATCAGGTAAAGAGGACTTGTCAGTGACCCTATTTTGGGAGCTTCAGTGGTACTCTCACAAGCTGAGCAGATACAAGTCCCCGTCCTTCAGCAGCTCGTGTGTATTTTTTCCTGCATACCCAGGCTGTGCAATCACATTTCTGGGCTCCTGCGTGTGGCTGTAGCCTGGATCCTGGGCTGGTCTCAGCTGAGGGACTGCTCATTGCAGGTCATCCCCCTTCTGCACTGACTCTTGCTCTTCTCGCCTCTCTTTTTGTCATCAAACTGCTGACCCTGGCTGGCTTTGCTGTCCTTTTGCTGTCCTTGCCCTCACACATTCGCCTTCCCTTCCTTCTCCATCTTGTTTATCAGTCACTGGGCTGGCCGAGTGCCAGAGATATTTGGGGTTGATCTATGAAGTCCTATAAAAATATAGTTTAAAGTCCTCTATAGACAGGAATCAGCTGTTCTAGTTATGGTCGTGTCTCTTTGGTTTTGCTAAAAAGCCTCAGGGTAGTTTCAGCAAGGTACCCACATCTTCCCGTGCTCGCTTTGGCTGCTGGAAGCTTATTTGGTTTCACAGTGCTTGTATCTGAGGAGACTTGATGTGGACACTGCTTGAATTTCTATAGTTTATCAAAACGTTTGGTTCTGTGAAATTGCTATTTCATGTACCCAACCAAGTGTTTTCCTTGGCCACAACAATATGTGGAAGCTGTGTTTGGGGGCGGGGGGTGTGAGAGCTCTGGGACAATCTGGAGAAGTCCTTCGCCTTTCTGCCTCTCATGCTGCTGTCAAGCACAGTGGAAGCTTTCACCCCGGCCCCCCGGGCAGCCAGTGTGCCTGCACCCAGCAGTGCAAAGCAGAGACGAGTAGCTAAAAAGGCTCATTTCTCTAGAGCCCACTCCATCCCCAGCCTCTGACTCAGCCAACAACCTTGATTTCTCTGCATTTTCTTTTCTCATTAAAAAAAAACTGCTCAAGAAAAAAACCAGTTTTATATGTAAGACTGTAAATATTGCTTTTCTTATATTAAGTCCGTGCAATAGCAGCACGGGGATGCTTGTAACTGTGGAAATGTTACAAGATGAATTTCTCATTTAAAGTGTCACCTAGTGGCTGGTTGGAAGTTTTGCATCCCGAGTTAAATAATAATCAGTATGCTCATATAAGCCATAAAAGCCAAAGGCCAATTCTTATGCACAAGAACTGATGAAGAGGCATTTAATATTCTGTTGATCTTGTCAGAATTCCTTTTTAATGTGTTTCATTTAAGCCCTAAAACTTGCACTGAATCACTGCATTCTTGGGCCAGGAATACATTATTTCAGCTTTAGTCTTCCCTACTCTGATGAGTAAAATGGCAATTAATTGCTAAAAAAGTTAATTGCCAGCGATCCCAGCAGTGAAATTTTGCCTGAACAAAATCATTAGACCTTGTTTATGCTAATAAATTCCTTGTGCATCTGTGGGGTGGCTTCAGGCAGAATCCTTGTGACAAAAAGATGATTGTGCATCTGAGTATGCGGTCAGTTCAGAGCTACTGGAAAATGTGTCTTACATAACACATATGAAAAAGATTAGCAGTTTCAGAGTCGTCATCATTTATAGTTCTAAAGGATATTACAAAGGAGGTTAATTAATATAATATACTTGTAGCATGCACCAGGGAACATAAAACAAGCTCCTCCATTTACATGAAATTGCGCATTTTACAAACTCCAGAGAGGTTGCATGAATGGAAAAATGAAATATGTATTTTTAAATCAGTAGCTGTCATCCATGATGCTGTGTTTTTTGGTTGTGTTTTTTGCTTTGCTTTTCTGGGTGGCCATTTTTAACTTATGGAGGAACTGTCTTTCAAAAGAACTGAGGACCTGTGTGCTAGGAAGATATGCAGGAACAGCAAAGGCTCAGCATCTCCGAAAATGAGGCTGGATGTGTTGGCTTGGGCACTCAGAGTTGGCCACCAGATTTGAAAATTTGGTTGCGTTTTGCCTGGGTCATTCGGTGACCCGAGGGTCCCAGGCTGGAGGAGAGCTTGAGGCTGCTGAGTCCCATGTTTTGCCCGTGAAATCTTGAACTTCATTAGCTGAGACAGACAGGCAGCACCGCTGAGCGACTGTATTTGTGACATCTTTGGTTTCCCTTCTGCTGCCACCACACGTGGCTGTACTTACCTTGTGCTTGGGGGGGAGGCTGTTTAACTGCAGGATATACCAGAGGCTAAGGATGAAGAATTTTATAGGAACAGCTAGTAAAAATGTGGGCGATTACTTTTCTTTAGAAACCCCGTGCAGTTTTTTTACTAGAAAAATATTGCCTATTGCAACCTATTTCATTTTCAACCCAGGTAAGTGATGAAGTGAACGCTAGAAGATGGGTCTTGACTGCACAGTCCTGGTCTGTGCAAGGGAGAGGAATACAATGTCCTGGTGTAGCTAAGATGTAGATTTTCTCAGGCTAATGACATTTCCCTGGGGCTTGCAGTGCCCCTGAGGCTTACAGTGCAAAGATGCAGTGAAAACGGAGCAACTTTTGGTCAAGAAACTGCCTAAAAAGGATGAGCTCCTCGCAAAGGCTGGGAGGGTAGCAAAGAGGAGGGCACTTTAGCCACTGCCCTGTAAAGCTACACGGTGGGGAAGGACAGATATTGCAGCAGGTAAAAAGTACTCCTAAACAAAGCTCAAAATTGTACCTGTTTAATGTTGCAAGGTAGTTTAAGAAAACTGTCCTGTGTTTCTTAATGCCAGTATAGAATGTGGGACAGGTCCCAAGGGAAGCTCAGTCCATCCGAGGGCTTCAGAACCTTGACTCTGTCCCTTTAAATGTAATTGTTAGTAAACACTTTAATGAAAGAGAAGCTTTCATCAGAGAAAAAAAGTGGCGAACTGCACTGGTAAATAATTTGCCTTGGCAAATAATATTTAAGCCGTTGATTTGAACCATAATTCTGCTCAGCATTATCATTTGCTTTGTAAATAGAAGTCCTTATCCAAACAGCCGAGCTTTCTGCTGTTGTTGATGAAAATGGGAAAATGTGGGGCAGAGGGAACGTGTGACTTCCCTTCCTTTCTGGAAGTCTGCGGTTTCCAGCTATTCAGAAAAAAATGCTTGCACTTCCATCGATCCGAGCCTGGGACCGCC